CTAGGAAAGAGGACTACATAACAATAAAGCAGACTGTGATTAACATTCCCTGCACAAGGATGAGGGGGGGATGAGAACGACAGCATGAAAGTTTCATGCCGCTCAAAAGAGCACACCACACTAGATCTAAACAAACACGGTAAAAATTGTAATAGTAAAAGTATGATAAGATGATACAGAAAACGCGAATAACCCAGGGCAGAATGGGACATACCAGAACTGTTTAGCACACGTTTGGTCAAAGGATCGGCTTCACTTGTCTCTTTGACGAGTTGTTGTGTGGTGCTAAGATGGCGATACTCACTGACGATGCCGACTACGGTGCCGGCGAAACGTCTGGGAATGTAACACGTCCACGGTTCAATTTTGGAAATGATCATGCAGACAATGGACTCTGGACAAGGTGCGTTCCTCTGAGTCTTCCTACCAACAAGACCATGTTGTGAAAACAAGGTCAAACAACTTCTTAAAACAACGAAAAGAGACTGTGACCACACAAAAGGCCACACCATCTTGGTATTCACACCTTCGATAAAACACATAGTTTAATCGGAGGTATGAAGGCGAAGATATTGTGGTCTAAGTCTTTCTACCAACATGACCGAGATGCGAATACAAGGTCAAACAACTTAGCAAAACAACTAAAGGGGATTGCGACCACACAAAAGGCCACACCATCTTGGTCTTCATACCTTCGACAAAACACATAGTGTAATCGGAGGTATGAAGACCAAGATGTTGTGGTCTTAGTCTTCCTACCAGCATTACCGAGTTGCGAAAACAAGGTCAAACAACGTCTTAAAACAACGAAAGGAGACTGTGATTACACAAAAGGCCACACCGTATTGGTCTTCACACCTTCGACAAAAGACATAGTTTAATCGGAGGTATGAAGACGAAGATGTCGTAGTCTAAGTCTTCCTACCAACATGACCAAGTTGCGAAAACAAGGTCAACAACTTATTAAAACCACGAAAGGAGACTGCGACTACACAAAAGTCCACACCATCTTGGTCTTCATACCTTCGATAAAACACATAGTTTAATCGGAGGTATGAAGACGAAGATGTTGTGGTCTAAGTCTTCCTACCAACATTATCGAGTTGCGAATACAAGGTCAAACAACTTAGCAAAACAACTAAAGGAGATTGCGACCACACAAAAGTCCACACCATCTTGGTCTTCATACCTTCGATAAAACACATAGTTTAATCGGAGATATGAAGACGAAGATGTTGTGGTCTAAGTCTTCCTACCAAAATGACCAAGTTGAGAGAACAAGGTCAAACAACTTCTTAAAACAACGAAAGGAGACTGTAACCACACAAAAGGCCACACCTTCGACAAAACACATAGTTTAATCGGAGGTATGAAGACGAAGATGTCGTAGTCTAAGTCTTCCTACCAACATGACTATGTTGCGAAAACAAGGTCAGACAACTTAGCAAAACAACTAAAGGAGACTGCGACCACACAAATGGCCACACCATCTTCTTATTCACACCTTCGACAAAACACATAGTTTAATCGGAGGTATGAAGACCAAGTTGTTGTGATCTAAGTCTTCCTACCAACATTACCGAGTTGCGAAAACAAGGTCAGGCAACTTATTAAAACAACAAAAGGAGACTGAGACCACACAAAAGTCCACACCATCTTGGTCTTCATACCTTCGACAAAACACATAGTTTAATCGGAGGTAT